GACACTGTTCATTTGTTGACTGTCAATTGACGTCTATAAGTACATATGACGGACTGAATTCAATGAGCATGTTGCACACTAAAACCGCATTAAGCTTTGAACAAGAAATTAAATGTACCTAATTTTTGGTTGGGCGCTCAACCAGTGAACGCGGTGAGGTGCTGTTTTATGCAATTCCTGTCACTGCAACCAGTTGTCAAATAAGATTTTTGTAGACACATGAGCCACCATTGTTCGGTCAGGGAATTTTTGCCCTTTTGTTGCAATTTAGTTTACCCATATCGACAGAAATGAAGCATTCTCAATGTTTTCGTGATACGTATTTGGAGCCTGTATGGTGTCATGGCTGGTGCGGATTCCTGCAGGCTGTTTATAGTTGCAGGTGTGAATCAGTGCAGATTTGTCACCACGACCGATGCAGATTACCGACTGATTTATGACGTTGGTTGGCATGAGGTTGGTTGCGTTGCTTTATTCGTTGGTTTGAATAAACATCTTTGTGTTTAAATACTCGTCTGTTTGATACTTTTTTAAATAAAAATTTCGACGCGTGTCGCAGCACGGTGTGTGAAAACGCACAACATGTATATATACTGTAAAACATATTTGCACGTTTCGAGTCATCCTGGCAAATCTCACTAACCAAATGCGTGAAAACTTTGTATTTACACACTGCATCCCGAAGTTTATAACGCATTTGGCTAATGATATTTGCCTGGATAACATGTGCACGTTGTGCAAATCTCGGCAGAAGCTTGTGAAGCTTACTCACATTTTGCGTGTAAGCGTGTTTTCTTCTGTGTGTGTGTTATGTAACACCGAAGTTAGTTATCCTGCAACTAGGCGATGCCTAGTTGCATGATAACTAACTTCGGTGTTACATAACACGCACAAAAGGAAACACGCTTACACGCAAAATGCTAGTAAGCTTCACACGCTTTTGCCTAGTGAGATTTGCCAGGATAACTAACTTTTTAGTTACTTTACACGCATAATATTAGTACATTGACAGGTAGATATTAGTTAAGTAACACGGTCACACGCAAAAGGCGTGTATGTCAACACCACGTCGAAAACTAATGTCTTAGTTTCATAACACGTTTTTTCTTAAAAGCGTGTTATATAAAACACGTTTGACCAGTAGATGCGTGTAAACTTTACACGCTTTAGGTTAGTGAGATTTGCCATGATAACACGGAAGTTAGTTAACATTTTTTACAGTGTAAGTCGAACGCGAGGATCTATCCGACGATTCACGCGATATTAGTCTTTTCAGGATAGCCATGGGAAGGCATTAAAGCACCTTCCAAATAATCAACGCTGAAAAAGCGAAACAAATATGAAGCTTCAGACAACGATGAACAATCAACGATAAAGCGACGAAGCTTTCAGCAGAGTGGAATTCAACCGAAACAAAAGCACGTAGGTACGAAGCTGTTGCACCATGGATAAATCACCATACTCCAACACCATGCCATTATGGACACATAAATATAGCCCCAGACGCCTGGCCCGCCTATGCACAGTGCCAGAATAAGCAAGCGACCGAATCGGTGGGTTCTTGACTAAATTATACCAGAAGGAAAGCCACTAATGCACCAGTTTAGAAGAATGTTATTTATTATGAGAGCTGATGTAGCTACATGATCTCCGGTAGCGAGCCTCAGCCAACCTTATGAAATCCAAAATATTTGTACCGATGAATTATGTCGTCAAGTGTAACATCAAAATCAGGACCTTATTAAATTGACTGACCGGGCAATAACGTAGAAGTTTGATTGGGTTTGTGAAAGACGATCCTCAGCAATCATTGCAAACACCAATTCTGACAGTTGTTTATGACGCGTTACAGCATCTCAACAGCTATTAGTGTCGTCACAACTGAGCTGCACCAGATCCCCAGAGCAGGTTGGTGATCAGCACCAGCACAAACACACAAACACGAGCAACATCACAAACACAAACAGGATCAACACCACAAACACACGGATAGCAACACCGCATGCCAGAGCGCCGACAAGCTGCCAGAATCATAACAACAAAACCAATCCAGCAGCTAGCCCAGATGAGAGCGCTCGGGGTCGCCAGAGAACAAAAATTCGTCACCCGGAATGTCTAATCAGCATGAAACGCCGCCAGAATCATAACAACAAAACCAATCCGGAGTCCGGTCCAGTAGAGGAAGCTCGGTGTCGCCAAAGAGCAAGAATTAACTGACCAAATAGCGCAAAACTTTGAATTGGATGAACCGGTGACTTCGGAAGACATAGAAGGAAGTTTGTGACCCTTGGCAGCACGTTCAAGGCTTCGTCATCGTAACTATTAACTCATCGAAGGCTGTGACTCATGTGGCTTTCTTCTTCTCACCCTTCTATAGAACAGCACAAAGGTCATGCTTTCCCTGCAGCCCACTCCGACCGCCAACCCATCCAGCACCCATGCAAGCTGTATGTAATTTGGCGTGCGGCCGCGCGGCCGACCGGCCGCCTGCCCGGCTCCCAGGGGACTGGGACGGGGGGAGGGGGGTAGGCTGGACGGACACCGCCAGCCCCGGCCCCGGCGGCAGTGGTGAGGGATGCTTTGGAGCACGCCGAGTAGTACCCGTCAGACCGGTCCGCCGCGGCGTACTGGCGGCACGCCCACGGCCGTGCACGGCTGGAGGGCCGCGGCCGGCCATGGAAGCGGCCGCCCGCCGCGGGAAGGGTTTCGGGTGCCACGGGCGGGCTGTCGCGTGCAAGGGTTTGGGTGCCACGGGATGGCCATGGAAGCGGGCCGGACGCCGCGGGAAGGGTTTCGGGTGCCACGGGCGGCCGCCGCGTGCAAGGTTTGGGTGCCACGGGCGGGCCCGCCGCGGGTAGGGTTTGGGTGCTACGAGCGGGCCGTCGCGGGTAGGATTTGGGTGCCATGGGCCGGCTGCCGTGGGAAGGGTTTGGTTGCCACGGGTCGACCGCAGTGTGCAGGGTTTTTGGGTGCCACGCTTGGCCATGGAAGCGGGCGCCGGCCCCGTGCAGGGTTTGGGAACCACGGAACGGTTGGTGTACTGTAGAGAAGGGGCAATGAGCCAGCACTAGTGCACACTACCGGTCGGATGGACCAGTGGGTGGACAAGGCTATCGTGGTAACAGATTTCCCGGCGGCCGGCTGCTACGTAGACCGGTAAACATCCATGTCAGCATAGCATGTTGCCGTCGACAGGCTATACCTATCAGCCGGCAAGACAGCAGCGCCGCCGTGGTAGCAATGGCTTCAGTGAAGACGGTGGATTACTGGACCAGCGAGCCTTGACTTCTGCCGGCTCCCAGCCATATCAGCGAGCAATCAAAAATGCTTCCGTGGCAACAGCGCCTTAACGCCTTCGATGCAGACTGTCGGCAACTAGACCAGCAAGCCCACATGCCTAGTGGCAACTGGCAACCTAGCCTTCCGTCAGTAGTCAGCAAGATACTGGGTAACACCGCCTTCTCTCGACACGCCTCCCAGTAGCCGTCCAGACGGGTTTCCCGTCATACTGAGCAGAAGCACCGCAGGTCAGAGACAAACCGGAAGCGGGTGCAAGTCTGTCACCAGCACTGCGTCCAACTTACCGCAGGCAGGCGGGGAAAAGGACGGAGCTCCGGACCATACATCGTTACAAAAACATCGAAAGTACCGGCGCACAACGATTTTCGAATCAAAATCAATGTTCCTATAAAGGGTAAGCCTGAAAGCCACACTTTTAATGATCAATATAAAGGTCCCATCCTCAATAATAAAAACCAGCCCCAATTTAGACCAACCTCAACTCCTACTGGTCCCCTACTTAAAAAAGTGTCAGTTCCCAACTAACAATGTTTGTAAAGGCATTGGAAAATAAAAACAAAATTTGTATGAAAGGCATGGTAAAGAGCACCACAACCATTCTGGAATTCAGTAGTAGTGATAAAATGGTTAATTTCAGAGTATAAACACATTTTTCCTTACCTACCTACCATATAATGTTAAAATAGGACTTATATCAAAATGCTGTAATTTTTGGTGGTGCTAACTCAGTCCCTACCAGGCCCAAGTAAAACCACATCAATGGGGTGTGGTTTTTAAATCTAGGCCTAATATGTTAAAAATTCTGAAAACTTGTGCTGTAAAAGGCATCTAGCATTGAACACGCAGGCATGTAGGCATAAAAATAAAGTGGCAAAACACAAGTTAAATAGGTAGGTGCTTCTCTCAGAAACCTTACAGTCCAACAGTCCAAACAGCAGACTCGGATACCCTCATGTGGAATTGATTGAATTGAAAACATTATCACTGAATAGATAATTTTTCATATTGAATACATGACTTATATAACATTAAAGCAAATACAAATTATCAAAATGAATTATAGCCTCCCATATCAGGAGTTTTGTGCGGTGCTGCGAGGTGAATTTATTTCAAGGTCATTGTGGTTTGTTTTGGTGTTCACCTAAGATCTAGAGGCACATTCAGCATACAAATATTTAAAAATACCTTTGTTATCATCAGCACGCTATCAGCCAAAACTGCATGCCTTTCGCTATCCTCTAAAATTCAAATTCATCATACCCAATGTTCGTCTTTCACTGTTTGATTGCCCAGCCATTTTACGCTTCAACTAAAATGGCATTATTTGAAACTCTGAATTAATGAGTATATTTTCTAAGTCTGAATTTAAACCAGATTATGTCAGAGCTAAGAAGACTGGCCAAATGAAGTTGGGTTGGGCCCCATTTGCAGTTTGCTTGAACTTGCAGCTTTGAAGTGCTTAGCTTTGTTGCTGTCTGAAGGTAGCCTGCAATGCACACTTTTCCCTTCCCGACCATCATAAGACTGATGTGCATCCATATATGTGATAGTATTTCATGTAAAAAATGAAGTTAATTATCATAAAGGGTTTGATCATTCAATGGATGAGCATGAGGAAGGTCAATACCAATGCGTCACAAATGAATCACTCTGACGTCACGGCATCACCTGCTCGTTCTACGCGAATGTTCGTTGCTTACCTGATGTGCAGAGACGTGTCAATCCAAAAATTAATGCCCTCGCAGTGTTAGACACCCGCTTGACACTATAAATCACATAAATCACACGCCAATACGCACAAACCGATCGCACACACCTCCGCACCTCCCTTCCGTTGTTTACGTCTCCATCCCAACGGCTTTTGTGCGGCCAGATGAAGCTCTAAAAATCCTTCAATATGGTAGCGTTTTCCCTTCCTGCAGCAGGAAAACTTCATTAGGGCAGGTGTAAAGGAATCTTGGGTACGATTATATGTGTTGATGTCTGTGCAAGGCTCACACCCTTTTTACACTCAAATAGGCTCAGATTTCCAAGTTATAAGTTTTAAACCAAATGTAGCTGACTGCCTACCTGTTCTTCAATCCCTTTTTTGGTCTACTGCTCTGCCCGCAAAGGATTTCAGCCGTGACAGAGACCATATAGCGCCATCTACACAGATAGTTCTACTATTGTCCGCCAGATACCGCCACAATACGGTACACTTAGCGCGGAGCACCGAGTTTTGGGTATAAAATATGCTGCAGTCGGGATAAGCATAATATGGTCACTGAGAGGCTCGATACTCCCCGGCGACTCACTAGGGTGCCTGCCTAGACCAATGTCTTCCCCTAATTCCTATCATCCTTCCGGCTCTGCAATGGTCTTGTCGACCGAAAGGGCCTAACCCAACAAAACAAAAAGCTCGTTACCCAACCCCTAACGTCCTTCCTGCTCAAATCTTCCTTCTTATCACAAATCAACCCAAAGTATGATCAAACTGTTATATAGGGCCGGGGTGGATCCCATAGGGAGAAGAATCCCCCCCCTCGAACGTTAGCGGCTCAGAGTGAGATCCAAGATCCACACTACATAAAAGTAATGACCAGATTCGTTCAGGTCCAGACGCTTTGTCAGCCCCCCTCCCCCCCCCCACGTCCAGCTTCTCAATGACCGGGACCCCAAACATATGAGTAGAGTAAATGTGTTTTACAAATGGATTTATACAATGGAAAGCGGAAAGGAAAATCCGTTCCTGTCCCTGATGCGTACCTACTTACTTGACTTACTCATGTATTTGGGGCTTATAACTCTTTTGGTCATTCATGAGTCGATAACTCTTTGGTCGCTCTCTCCCATCTTTGCTCCTCTGCTGAGCTGAAGAAGACGGAATGGAACTATCAGCCATTAATTATCCCGGTGCGGAGCGTCAGGCCGTTAACCCCAGGCAGTGCCGTGCGGACTGTCGGCTCCACCATGGCTGCTACGCCATGTGCAGCTGTCAGCTGCCAGCTGTCAGGTGTGAACTGTCAGCTGACAGCTGCCCGACCAGCTGTCACCTGACAGCAGTGAGCCGTCGTTAGCAGGCGTTAGAGAACTGCACACCTGGTGCGTTACTGACACTCTGAGATGGGAACGGTGTCCTCAGGGAGCAGAGGAGAGGTGGCGGGGAACGCCGAAGAATGTGGCAGCCGTATAGGTGGCATTAGAAAACAGTGGAGGTAGCACATGGCGAGGTATGGGACGGCTCCTGCCCTCAGTTTTCAGGGAGCAGTTGAAAGTAGCACGAGGGCAAGAGATGGGATGGGGTTGGGGACTGTCCTACTCGTAGTCATTTCCCAGGGGCCGGGAAGCAGTTCCAAAGGAGCAATTAGACGGGGCGGAGTTACCGTCGTTACAGGTCCTGAGTGAGCTCAGTAGACTGAAGGAGGGTTATGAACGAGTGATGAGTCATTAAGCGAGATAAATTTGTACTTTTACTAGGAAACGAGGAACGAGACGGGGAGCACCCTCTTTTGGGTCGGATTGCTGGAATGAAGCGCATGGAACGCGTAAATACAGATAGTGAAGCGGCTAAGAGCATGACTAAGACTAATTGCTTCGTTTGGTTAGTCCTTTAAGGCCCTTTAAGGCCCCTATAAGGCCCTTTTACCGATTATGGATGCTAATTCTGTCGTGAATTGTTGAAGCAGGATTTGGCAAAATATATCATACTCGGCCGACAAAATAATAAAAGTGCATGCGTACTATCTTTCTGTGCCTTGGCATCATACAACGCATCCCTGCCCCATTAGTTGGTAAAAAGCACGCTCCTAATTCACGAATAACCGCGTCTTGCCTCCTTCCGCACACACATCCCACGGTGGAATGGTAACAATGTTGTTGACCTAGCACGATTCACTGCAAAACGGCCCGTTAGCGCAGCCACCCAACAAAACGTGTCCCACAAAAAGCACGCAGTCAACAGGCGCGTCTCGCGTTGGTGCCAGGTGGGGATGGGCGGTGCCTGAGGCAGCGCCTGAGGCGGTGGGGAGGTCGGGGGGGGAGGGAGGGTGCACGCGCCTGCGCCGGGACACGAGCTCAACCAGCAGCCGACGGGAAGTGTTGGTTTGGGGTGAACAGATGCAGAGGGGACACAAGGGAAAGGGTGACACGTGGGGCATCATGGCATTTAGCTGCTAGAGACTGCGGATCTTGGGTCTTGAAAAGACAGGGTTGAGACCTTGAGGCAAAGAGCGAAAAGAGTGTGAAAACCAGGCTTCCAAAACTGTTTGTGTGTGGCATAAAACATTGACTTATCAACAGACAGTTTGATGTTATCCATCACTTGCTAAATGGACAAGTGATTCGGGTTCTTTGCAAACAAATTAAGATGTGTTTGCAACACATCTGTCCTCAATGTGTCGTCTCAGTAAGTGTCTGGGCCCTCCAAGCGTGCCTCAAATCCTGACCACAATGGTCCTCTCAAACACTACATCTTAATGTTCCTCATCGCCTGTTCTCTTAGACACTGTCCTCACATCTTGTCCTCAATGCGTCCTCCAAGACCCCATCTCCTATGGTTCAGATGTCCTTTTAGCTTCCCTAATCGCCACGCCATGTGTGGATCGCCCATGATCGTAAATACATACATACATACTTGTCCTCATTTCTTACTCTCAGCCTCAGCATTCCTCACCACCTGTCCTCCTAGACCCTGTGTCCTCCACTGCCCTCAATGCGTCCTCCTGGCGCTCCTCACCACCTGCCCCGTCCTCCCGGAGCTCAGCTTCATCTTTGTCCTCCTAGATACTGTGTCCTCCTGTGTCCTCCACACCTCGTCCTCAACACGTCCTCCCAGCGCTCCTCGCCACCTGCCCCGTCCTCCCGACGCTCGGCACCCAGACAGCGGGGGCGGGCATTGTTTTACCGAGTCGAGAACACGGGCACAGCCTCCACCCTGGATCCCTGCCATGCACAATGTTTACATAGACTCGCCTAGACGGAGGCTCGCCAGGGGCTGGGGGGGGCGATGGGAGGGGGGGGGCGGTGACTACAGGTGCATCGAGTCCGCCAAGAGACACTGTGACTGACATCATGAAGGGCAGCGGTGCGTTGGTGGAGAGTGAGGAGGACATAAGTTAGGGGAGAGAGTATGGGAGGACAACAAACCATGGAGTTGTGCGGAGTGGCCAGCTAGAGGGACAGAGCAATGGGCTCAAATTGAGACGTGGCGGGTAAGTGGAAGTGAAAATGCATCACGATAAATCATGACTGGAATCGGCTGTCTCATTCATGAATGAATAAACAACTTAAATGTTTTATAGCTTAGTAATTAAATTGCAATAAAAAGATCTTAGACGTAAATTTCCACCATGACCACGTGTGTGGGTGGAGCCATGCCCGTTATTGCATCACTTTTTCACTGAGCTGAACGCTGCCAATAGTGGGGGAGGGCGGGGGGGGGGGGGGCAGTAGCCGCCCCTGTACCGGGCGTCTGACGGCTCTGTATAACCTGTCTTCATGCCGAATTCGCCCCCCCCCCCCCAACATTGGTGCGAGGTTGGCTGAGATGTCGGCCGTGCGGGTTATTACTACTGATACCAGTATCAGTAGCAATATCAGTAGCTATGCTACCTTGTGCTTTTTAAACTTGTGCGCTGTGTAGGTAAGCGCATATCTTTTCGATGGCTTTTTATACGGAGTCTAGATAGCGTTTGGCTGGCGTACCTACTTCATTTTTGCAACCAAGTGGAGCCGTACCCGGAGAAAACTCCACTGCGTCATTCAAACTGACTAACACCTCATTATGAGTCAGATAGACGCGTGGCCTAGCTGTAGGGTACCCACCTCGTATTTACGAAGATCGCATGGGTTCTCGTCCAGTTAGCTGCGGATGTGTGTGTGTGTGCGTTTTTTTTTTGTTTTTTTTTTTTTTTGTCCGCGTTATAGTTCCTGTCGACCACCGAGTGGTAAGAAGATTGACCGATCGCTGGCGCCGTCAGACGGATGGTGTCCTTATAGCCGCCCAGCCATGAGAAGATGAACTCACGTAATACGAGCATTGGAAATGAGTTACCAGGAATGCATGAGTTTTGACAAATCGCTCAGCTCATCGAGATGAGTTAACGCATGGCTGAGCGGTAATAACAGTGTAGGCCGCATCAGCTGACTCGCTCCGCAGGTGTCCATATGACCGCCCTTTACGTGAGTTTACTCATGAAATATAAGTAAATTTGTTTTCAGTGGCGCTGCTCTACATCAAACCGCATCAAACCCATCATGCAGTGTGCTGGAGAACCTGGTGACTAAAATGCTCCAGCGCATTCGTAGCTGCGTTCTTATGAATGGTGGCTATATCGTCATTTTAAAGGATAAGCACCAGGCTTTTTTGCTTCTTAATTTCAGCGGGAAGAAAGATGTACGGATAATTTCGTTACACCCTGTATACATTTCCATGTTTCAATAACAGCATACATCGTTGCAGTCGGCACACAATTCTACTGGCAAGACAGGCAAAAGCACAGATTTACATACACCAATAACCACATAACAGGTTAAGTACAATTTTCATTGTTAGTTTGGCTACTGTCTTTCAATTCAATAGCGATGTGTGCAGTGTACACTGCAGGTAGTTGGACCTACTTACTAAGCGTATTTTCACTCTGCTAAATATAAAAAAATATAGAAGAACTATACATACACAGCCAAATTTACAGAGGCATTTACGGATAACGGTAGTAACCATCACACAAGGTAACAAGAAAGCACAAAAGCACGAATGCAGCCTACATAGGTGCCATTCCATGCCAACTCAACAACTAAAAGTGAAATTTTACTTCGTAAATATCAGTTATTTTCGTAAATATCTGAGGGGGTGCCGTGTACACCAGTTGTTCAGTTGGCATAAAAATGAAATTACCCATATGTGTGTGCACAACACATACACATCAATACAAACTCGCTCTGCACATTGCGATAGATACACATTACACAAACACAGGTCATGCCATCGAAGAAGCTTTCCCTGTCATCATAGAGAATGTCCACATGCTGTGAGAAGTCCACGACTTGCACAGTGCGCTGAATTTGAGGTCCGGCGGAGTCGAGGTTATCTGGCCCGGTCCATTGTTTGTTAGGCACGAGTCGGGTAGTCTCACCTCCACTGTTTGTTAGACACTAGAGTCGGGTAGTCTCATCTCCACTGTTTGTTAGACACTAGAGTCGGGTAGTCTCACCGTCCAGACTGATGGAAACCGGGACAGTCAGGCCGTCCAGACTGATGGAGACCGGGAAAGTCTGGCCATCGAGACTGATAGAGGCCGTGACAATCTGGCCATCCAAAATGATAGAGGCCGGGACAGTCTGGTCATTCAGACTGATGGAGACTGGGACAGTCGAGTCGTCCAGACTTACGTAGACTGGAGTAGTCTGGCCGTTCAGACTAATGGAGACTGGGACAGTTTGTCCGTTCAGACTGATGGGGACCGAAACAGTCTGGCCGCCAAGACTACTGGGGACCGGGACAGTCTGGCCGTCCAGACTAATGAGGTCTGAGACAGTCTGGTTGTCCAGACTGGGAGCCTGATTCGGCATGACTGAGGGACTGTGAGGTGGGCTGAGCGTCTGATCTGGTGGAGTCTGCTCGCTGACGCCTCTTAAAGACCTTGATCCGTTTAGTCTCACTTCTTCGGAAGTCGTAGCACTCTCGTCATCTACAGGGTGCGTCATAAGTTCTGGTACACTTTTTCTTTTATTAATAAAAAGAGTTACAACAGGTTTACAGAGTTGAGTATTTCAGTAGAGGATCTCTATGAAGTTAAGTCAAAACACGTGTAATATCATAAAAAAATATTAACTAGCTGAGCCTTAATGAAACAAATGGTAACTGACCGCCCGACAGCTAAGTGCACACCATGGCGCCTTTCTCCCCAACAAAGGAAGCTCGCGGGGCCATCGTCTGCATGAAGATGGCGGATATCTCGGTAGCAAAGATATGTCGCGCGCTTCGCTGCACGCGGAATCTTGTGTATCGGACGTGGACCCGGTATATACCAGGAGACCCAGAGTACCGGAGACCGATTCCGTTCCGGCCGCCCCCGGTCCGGAGGAGCTTGAGAGCGTTTTCTTTCCGTGTGTGGCGCTGTGCAGCGTTGAGGGAGTGAACGTGCTTCTTGCGGAGGCTTTTCACGCGCATATCCTTAGAAATGAGTCTGCGCATGGAACGCTCGGACACATTAAGGTCCCGGGCCATTTGGCGCATGGAACGCTCGGGGTTGCGGACAATCCGGCTGCGAACCGCGGCTTTCAGCTGAGGCGTGTGGGCGGACCGGGGGCGGCCGGAACAGAATCGGTCTCCGGTACTCTGGGTCTCCCGGTACCGGGTCCACGTCCGATACACAAGATTCCGCGTGCAGCGAAGCGCGCGACATATCTTTGCTACCGAGATATCCGCCATCTTCATGCAGACGATGGCCCCGCGAGCTTCCTTTGTTGGGGAGAAAGGCGCCATGGTGTGCACTTAGCTGTCGGGCGGTCAGTTACCATTTGTTTCATTAAGGCTCAGCTAGTTAATATTTTTTCATGATATTACACGTGTTTTGACTTAACTTCATAGAGATCCTCTACTGAAATACTCAACTCTGTAAACCTGTTGTAACTCTTTTTATTGATAAAAGAAAAAGTGTACCACAACTTATGACGCACCCTGTATGTCCGGGCTCCTCTTTCCCGTTTCCTCTCCCCCTTTCTCAGCTGTTCCGGTGACCTCCCCCCTGCCGCTCCCAGTCTTCATCGCGCCGGCCACACCGCCCTCCTCCTCTCCCGCTCTGTCCGTGTCGTTTCTGTCCCCCTCCTCTCCTTCACTGTTTGTGTCCTCGCTGTCCCCCTCCTTTCCCTCTTCATCCTTGTCCTTTCTGTGATCCTCTTTCCCCTCTCCGTCTTTGTCCTTTCTGCGTTCGTTCTCTCCCTCTCTGTCCTTGTCTTCTCTGCCTTCCTCTTCTCCTTCTCCGTCCTTGTCTTTTCTGTCTTCCTCCTCCCCCTCGCTGTCCGTGTCCCGGCCATGCTCGGCGAACCAGTCGGGCTCCCTGCAGCGCGCCGGCAGCGACTCCCAGCGGAAGGTGTCGAGGAACTGCTCCGACCAGAGGCGGCCCTCCACCGCCGCCGGGTACAGCTCGCAGCACAAGTCATGCGGGTCAATCTTCCCGTCATGATACGGGTTCGTCGGGTAGAGGTCGTCGACTCTGCGCTTCCAGCAACACCAGAGCATCTGCTGCGCGTCCAGAGGGAGGTTCAGCAGGTGGCGCATCAGCGGCGCCTGGCTCGAGCTCAGCAGGCCAGCCAACAGCAGCTGGATGGCGCACGGCAGCAGAACTTGTAGCCTGAACACTGCAGACCATTTGGCGAATCTGTCTTCCGCTCTAGTATCGGGCCTTATATCTTCCCACAGGTTGATCTCACGAGAGAAGAAGCACGGCAGATCACCCTGCTCCGCACAATCCAGAAGATAGTCGAGAACGGCCTTCATCGACGCCAGCATCCCGTCCCAAGTCCAGAGCTCTGGCGCACGTCGCTCGCAGACCCACATCATTGCCGTCTTCAGTTCGTAGCTCTTCAACGGAGCTTCCTTGTCCCATGCGTGCTGCCTACCTCCCGTCACTGCCGCACAGTGTTTGAGCAGGACCAGACAGATCCGCTGGGGCTTGGTCATAGAACGGATCACCTCCGATTCGAGACGTGAAAATGATTTACGGAAACGGCCATGTATACCAACCAGGTGGATTGACATCTCACTGAGCTTCTTCACCAAGTCTTTGCTCGGCTGCCCCGACGGTCGCTCTCGGTTCACAAACTCGTCACTGACCCTCCCGGGGTACTGGAGACAGGGGACGAGGTCAATCATGTCATCATTGAAGGTTACTACAATGTTCGGCCCCCTGCGATCCTCTTCGATGCATTTCACATGTTCTTTCACAGCTGCGGCTATATGTGATTTGAGACATTGGAATGTAAATAATTCACGTCTGTCAGAGACGTCAGACTCCCGCGGGAGGTCCTGAGAGATCTCCAAGAAACCCGACTTATCTTTGATTTCTTCTGCATGAAGAGTGAGAATGTTGTCTGGACCTTCTGAGTCTGTGCTGCCGTCCTCTCGCTGGACTCTAGAGCAGTTTGCTTTTGTGCTGGGGTTATTTTGCAGAGTCTCTGAACTACACTGCTTTGTGTCGGAGTCAGGCAGTACTTTATATGAGGTTACTTGCACTGAGCTAGTGGTAACCCTCGCAGTGAAGGGGCCATCGCGGGCTGTTTTATCCCGAGAAGACTTTTTCCAATGCCCCATAATGGTCGTCAGGGTTTTTAGACAGCTCTGCTTTGTGTTACGGTCTTTCTGCACCGGTTCGTTCTCCAATTTCACCGGTCCTTTTTCCAAGTTCACCGGTCCTTTCTCCAAGTTCACCGGTCCTTTCTCCAATTTCACCGGCCCAACATCGAGCATGAAGTCAATGTCAGATCCGTACACGAACGTATCATGAGGTGACACGTCATCCCTTGATTCCCGTTCCCTTGTCGCCATCTCTTCAGGTTTCTCCTTAATCCAATGCGTCATAGCAAAGCCGTCCTCACTAACCCACTCAAACTCCCGAACTGTTGAGCCGGGATCGCACTTGACGATATGCACTTCAGTCTCCTCACTTACGCTTCCAGAGATAATCACACGTTGCATTATGAGCTTGGGTGCATTTGCCTCGCCGTTCTCCTTTCCGCAGTTTGACAGGTGTTCTTTTTCGATTTCTTTTTGTTTACATTGTGGGTTGAATTCAAAGCCCTGTAAAACATTTTTCCATTTCTGCTTGTAATCATGTGCCCGATGTCTGCTGTCTGACTCGGAGAGAAGTTGTTCTCTCCATCGCAGGACTCGTCCTAGAGCTGCGGCCGTTTCGTCCGGTAACAGCGGAGGATCCATCACTGAAAACAAGTTGAAAGAACGTAATGCAAAAGCATCTTAAAATATTCCACACTTAGGTTTTTTGGGTATTAGGGTAAACTGGCTTAGAGGCGAAGCAGAACGTCTGGTTCATGAAGAACACACACAGTGGTTCACATAGACCGAAGACACGTGCTGCTTCTTCGCGTGCAGTCTTAGCGGCCCCAGGGGGCTTCAACTCGACCAACACCGGTTCTTCTTCGTTCTCCCTAGTCACGTGATATTACGTCACACAAAGCGCGCGAAAGATAAACCTTTTGAAGGTTTTGCACGAACTAGCATCGGGTTTAAGAAGAAGGGGTTGTGGTTTAATCAGTGTAATGGCTTTCATCAAGACCACGCCCGCGGTACCACGTTCTAGCGTCCACCGGAAGCGATCGCCATTTTTCGATCGCGTTGTATCACGCTTTGTGCAGTGACGAGCGGCTGGTGCAAGATTGGGTGAATGGCAAGTAATCGAATATTGAAGAACTGAAATAAGGTTAATTTTTGGCTTGTCAAGTGTTGTGTATTATTTATATTACTTGTGATTGACAATGATAAGCAATATCACAACGCTCTTCAAATGCATGGATGAATGCATTGGATGAAGAAAACTCATATGCAAGACCAATCAATGCAGTAAGTATTTATATGTTGTATAAATGCCCCATAGCTTAAATTATGCATGTGGTATTTAGACAAATCTTCCAAATGAAGATAAATCAGGAATAGAATCAGCTTGCCATTTTGGGGTCAAGTGATTTAGGTATAAATTTGGCTGATTTTAATAAACATAAGTTCTTGCTGATTAGTGCAATATTTTATTTAGCTGCACTTTATATGTTAAGTGCATTATTTTATTTTTGGAGTAGGCTCATGGTCTCTGAAGTCAATCTAAGTTTCTTTACTCCCTGCCTGTTGAATAACGCATCCGCCCGACTCTTCATTCTAGGGGACGAGGCCATCTCCGCTCTGATTGAGGCCCTGGAGTCTGAGGAGAGCGTCCTGGGGCGCGGAGACGTCGACATCGTCGAAAACGCTGGCTTGAGGCTGGTGGTGGAAGGAGAAACTGTATGTGATTTGGGAGAATGCGATATCGCCACCCGGCTGCTGACATGGGCGATAGCGCATGCTGTGTTTGGGAAAACATCCACTTGCTAAAGCTAAAAATGTGTTCATATTTGTGCAGAAAGCAACCCTGAGCGTGAAGGAATCAACCTGAATAATTAAACATGCCCGAAAGGCTCTGGAGTTCTTTGGCTTGGATGTGTAAGGCAAGTGACAAGGCCGAGGGGAAAGCGTTCTTGCAGGCTGATCGCAAGCTGAATGCGGGCTGGTTGCGGGCTGATCGCATGGGCTGGTTGCGGGCTGGTTGTTCCTGACTGGAGACTTGCAGGCTGATTGCTCAGAGTAAAGAGGAATGTAATACATTTTAAGGTGTATCAAATACTGTGTTTGCGCAGCAGATGTGACGGCGCAGGTCGATAGCCATGCATGAGAGGTTCAATAGACGAATGAACGGGGATTTTGCGGTATTGCAATGGAACTGAAAGGGTTCTACAACCGATATTCAGAACACAGGGTGGTTTCCCTATAAACCTCAGGGACTTCTTCACAGACCCTTTGGGGTTCTTATCTAGGTGCTAGGAACGCTCTTATTATAAACCCTAAACCTCATAAGAGTCTTTGGAAGAATCGTGTGGATTCTTTTCATGAGAATGCAAAGCCGTCTACGTGAAGAACCATGGGGGTTCTGAAAAACGGTGGCATAACATTTTACCCCACAGGGGTCTAAATACCCCTGTACGTTCTTAACGTTCTTCCAAAGTGTTTTCAGTGATTGCTCTGCGGATTCCCTCCATCACAGGGGCACTCGTGCAGCTCTCTCCGGCTTCCTCTCCGGTGGCCTGGGGTGGGGCGTCTTTGGTGCTGTTAACCGGCGGGTAAACCGTGACCTGCTTCACAACAGGATTCTTAATATCTGTGACGCCTCGCACCATGGACCCCGATTGGTGACTGATTTCTCTTTCATGACCGGAGTGTGTTTTGATGATATTGTTTGCAGCGACTCTCCATTGAATCAGCTTTAAAAGGCTGACCAATTTCTCAGCTTTGGTGACAAATGGGCATGTATAGGCATGCATACCAATGGCAATCTTTTGTCTGAGCTCGAGTAGCCTTGCCCTGATATCTTCAGGAAGCTGATCATCTGGTTGATCTCGATCATATGCTCTAACAGGCCTTCTAGCTAGACTTTCGTTCCAGTCCATGCGGACGCGCTCTTCTTCCATTCTTTGGGCAGTTCTGGCTGCATTGACGGATGTGCTCCAGCTAGCTTTATCTTGTAACTCTTGCATTTTACAGTACCAAGTATAGCCAGGAATGAGCTGTTTGTACATTTTCTGCACCTCAAGCTCGTATCTCAGTTCTTCCTTGTCCACGGTGTCCTCGCCAGTGGACGTGCTGCACTCGGCCTCCCCCGGCTCACCTCCGTTCAGCAGGTCGCAGTACAGCGCCAGAACACACGCCTCTTCATCCGGCAGCACACCTCCGCCCAGCACGCTCCTGTGTTTTTCTCTGGCGCTTATCTCCTCCAAGGGTCTCCACTCCTTCAGTTTGGGGTAGGTCTTAGAGCGCGCCAGCGCCGCCCGCGCGGCCGCCATCTCAGCAGGATTGTCGTCTGGTGCGTCCAACACTCGCGTCAGAACCTCTATACGCTCATCGACACTGGCAATTAGCGTCTTTCGAAAATCTTCCTTCTTAGACGTATCGTTCTCGGATCCTTCAATCTCGGGAGTGTCGGACTGTGGTACCGCCTTCAGGGCGGTAGCCAGCGCGGTAGCCGGCATGGGGTTCTCCTGGCCAACCGGTGAGACAGCCATGGCAGCGTCCACCGCGGCAGCCGGCACTTTCCCACTCAAATCTGTCTGATAGGTCGGCGGCAGCATCGTCATGGCCAGAACCTTAGCAATGTTCTTTTTTTCTTCCCCTTCTATCTTACTCTCTAGTCTGTTATACTCTGGCCTCTTCTTCGGCTTTGTCTCCTCACTCTCTACTCTCTTCATTGGTTTTGTCTGCTTATTTCCCATGGCGTCGTCGGAAAAGATGCCCGTTTGTACAGCTATAGGTCCTGACACAGACACCCGTCTGTAGACAGTGTCCAGAATGGTGCAACAAGAGCTGTGCTATCTGTCAGCCTCCGTACTGCAATCAGGACTTTACCTCACTTCATGTCCATCTTCAGTCAGTATTTCTATGCTTGCATCACCACCTGCAGTCCCCTCGCGCGCCTCCAAAGTTGAGTTATGCCTCCACTCTTAATGGCTGCAACGTTCAGTCCCCAGTAAGAATCTTCAGTCTTCAGTGAGTACCTCCAGTCTCGTCGCTACCTTCAATCACCTGTCAGAGCTCTAGGACCCGCCGTCTCTTGACGGATCTGCGGACACCACTGAGGCTCAGTTGGCTCCGTCTCAGTTCACCTCAATACGACTGCCGGCATTATCCTATCACACTCTACCAATGGGTGGCTGAGGCTGATAACGGGTGGACAGATAGGTAGACAGGGCAGCTCGGTATCAGTTCAGCACTCTAACGCCGGGCGATTTGTTCGTGCAACGGAACTGTTGATGCCAGTTGAAAAGGAACTGAATTAATTATTTTGACGTGCAGGGATGTTCACAAATAACCCGCATCAGGGGCGCGGGAACTACTTTCCGACTGGGGGGGCACACCATAATAGAGATTAACCTAGGGTACCCCCAAATCTAGTTTTCTCACCGGTTTTAGGCCACTTATTTTTCACCCCTCGGCTTTTTCAACAAAAAAAGAAAACATTTGCAAAAAAAAGTGTGGTATTCCGTCTCAAAGCTGTGGGGGCACCGCCCCCACGGCCCCAGAGTTGGGGGGGCAAGCTGCCCCCACTGCCCCCCCGGCTCCCGCGCCTATGACCCGCATTTTATTTTCGAATTCCGTGAAAATGACCGCTCTCATCGTGAGGATCATGATAAGAGCAAATAGAGAACCTAAAGTTTTTTTTTTCTAGGTTGTGGATTTTTGGCTGGACCGACCCTCCGTACCAATACTGGGGCCGTGTCGGAGCCCCTGCGTATAAGGACAGTGCGGGGCAAAGTACGGGGCAAAGTGCACCAACAGCCACAACTTGTGCGCAAAATCGGACGGGACAGCCCATCACAATGCATAAGTTGCTATCAATATCTGTCCACTGATTGCACTGAAACGCAGCACTGTCATGCACGGTTTGAGATAACCTCCTTTGTTGAGCGCTATACGTTATCGTGACCACCTCGGCTATGCTTAATCCGGGGATTTTCAACAGGATTAATGAGCTCGGCGTAGGGCCACTCTGAAGAGTGGTAAAATACAACGCTGTCTGCAATCGACGGACCAGCTATCGGCCGGCCGGGGCAGCTATCGTTCCCGGGTCACACGTATGTATGTATGTACCTACATACAGCACGCTAAGCAAGACTAAACAAGAGCACATGTAAGTACGAGCATACGCCAGCCTGTGGCAAGTGCCAAAACAAGAGCCATGTCGGCTGTGCCAGTTTATGGAATTGTCCATTATGCAAATTGATGAGATAGACTCTAAAAATGAATATTGAGGTGGCAGAAATTGGGATTGAAATATGAATGAAGAAAACTACGAATCCTGAAAAAGGGGTTTCTGTAGGCAGAATTATTCCTTATTCCAGCGGCCAGCCTCCCTTTCTGCGGACCAAGGAAGACATATAATAGTTATTCATTTAAGCTTTTAGCATCATTAAAACTGAGCAAACAATTAAAATACTGACACCAACTGGCTATCGTATTAGCCCGCATCCCATATCAAATGATTCAAATGTCAGAGGCATAAAACCTAACTAAACTACCAACGACTAACGGTGGTGATCGATACCATTAAATAACCGGCCATAATAAATAGTAGGGAAATTAACCTCACGCTCATACTTCCTAAAAGCAAATTCCGAATTCCAAAGAAAACAACTTTTAGAGAAGCTTTCGGCATTCGGCGCCATCAGAGAGCTGATTCGAAAAGTTGTTTTCTTTGGAATCCGGAATTTACTTTTAAGAAGCATG